ACTATGGACTCTGAGAAACAAATTGGGTTTTAGCGGGGATGGGGGTGGGGGGATGGGTTAGCCCCGGTAATGGGTATTAAGGAGGGCACATACTGCATGGAGCACTGGGTGTTATACGCAAACAATGAATCATGGAACACTACATCAAAAACTAATGATGTACCGTATGGTGACTAACATAACATAATAAAATAAAACTTAAAAAAAAGAAGCCTTTCCCAAATGCCCCACTTCCTTCTCCAACCTTCAGCTATAGTTATGTCTCCCCAGGCAAGATTGTAAATTTCTTTGTCAGACCAATACGTGAAACATGAATTTGTGTCTCCTAATGAGTTAACACATTCTGGGCAAATTCAGACTCTCAGTCTACACCTGTTAATTAGCTGATGTCAGAGGAATGGAAGTAGGGGCAAATGCACATCCCAAACTTTGTGATTGTTACTATGTTCAATTCCAGAGAAAAGAGAATGAAGTTTCAAAAAGATATCTCAGTTGTCCTGAGAAAGGAAACTTTAAATCAGTAAGGAAAACAAGCAAAGTTGCAGGACTAGAAGGAAAGGCAAGGGACAGATTCCAGGGCTTAAAAGACTCTGAAGTCAGAGAGAGAGAGAGAGAGAGAGATGTCAGCTCACAGGTCATTATGATTACACCATAGGCAGAGATTTAGGGAAGATGGAATAGACACAAGTGGGGAAAACTCACCAGCAGATGGGCTGTGTGTTTTTTTGGGTTCTGGACAAAATAAGGTATTTTTTATTATTTTGTCTTTTCTTTCTCAACCTGTCCTAAGATTGTTTAAATGGCCCATGGAGCTATATTGGGGCTTGGGCAAATAGAAAAATATGTGTCCATATATATACTTATCAAAATATCCTCCCATATTTTTAACCAAGTGGAAAAAAGCTAATAAAAAATCTACAGTGTAAAAACATGACTTAAAGAACTTTAATTAAGAACACATATACGTGAAGCCCCATGCAGCCCAATCTGTTGGCAGGCCAACATCAACCTCATAAACCCACCCAACAGGGCTGGTATGGGCTAACTGGAAATAACTGGTCTCATTACAAAATAATGCAGGGTTGAATAAACAACAATAACAACTGCCTGTCTTTATTTAGAATTTTGATAGTGTATTCATCTTTTCTGCTTTAACTTTGATTTTAAGAAAATATTACATTACATTATTATTTATCTCAGTTACTGAATTTTTTGGTTTCCCCTTGAACTTTGTGCTCAGGGCAAGTGCTACACTTGCCTCACCCTAAACCAAGCCCTTCCTTCAAGTAATGATTCTCCAAGTCCTGATGATCCCCATCCACATGTGGCTAGTGCATTTTGATTTTATTGGCTAGACATTTCAAACCAGTTTTTTATTAATTCAGATTATTTATTATATATTTATTATATGCTATTATTTATTAATTCAGTCATCAAACTAGTCCCTTTTCTGATGTTTAATTGGTAGTTTAAAGGCTCATTTTGCTTAATATATATATTCTAGAAAACTGCTAAAAAATTAACTAGACCTGAGTACTTGAATATAAGGTCTTGGTTTGCATTTTTTAAAAGAAAGAAAAGTCCTTCAGAAGATGAGTGGATTGGGGCGCCTGGGTGGCTCAGTTGGTTAAGCGACTGCCTTCGGCTCAGGTCATGATCCTGGAGTCCCTGGATCGAGTCCCGCATCAGGCTCCCTGCTCGGCAGGGAATCTGCTTCTCCCTCTGACCCTCCCCTCTCTCATGTGCTCTCTCTCTCTCCTCTCATCTTCTCTGTCTCAAATAAATAAATAAAATCTTAAAAAAAAAAAAAGAAGATGAGTAGATTATCCCCACAGAAGCTGTATTTGTTACCTGACAGATCGATGGCATAGCTGTAGCCGAGTTGGTCTGCAGTTAAAAAGAATTCCTCATTCGTCACCGGAGGGAAGAAAGGAACCATGTTATACATCCGATTGTGACCAATGGGTGCCAGCTCCTGAGGCCAGGCATCCACAGAAGGATTGGATCTTTTCATCCATTCATCGAAAATGGCGTCGGTAAAGGAATGAAGTACCTGCAAGACAATTGAACATGGCATTTGACATTGATCTGTCTGTCCCAATCAGGCCAATCTGACTGGAGCTTTCTCTAAAGTGGAATGGGGTTCTTCTGGACATGAGGAACTTCTCTGTACCCAACCGTATCTTAGTGACATACCCACTGATATTTTTAGTTATGTTTTCAAGGCTGCCTGGCATCTCTCCAAACAGGATCATCAACCCCTTGTCGAGTGAACAAATGAAAGTTCATTAACAGATTTAACACTGGTTTGGGAACATCAGATGTCTTTGCTAAGTGAATGTTAATTATTAAGTTGGAGAGAAGGGCAAGTATAAGATAGATATCTTTGGTTTTAGTTTTAACAGAAGAGGAAGAAGAGGCTGTGCTTAACAATATTGAAACAAATGGACAGGAAAGGAAGGAAGGAAGGAAGGAAAGGAGAGGGGAGAGGAGGGAGGGAGGAGGGAGGGAAGGAGGTGGGGAGGGAGGGGGGGAGGGAGGAAAGAAGGAAGGAAGAAAATCTCCAAAATGGGTTTTCAAATTTTTCTCAGCAGGACAACCCTTCTATGTACTCATTTCATAACACTCTCATTTGAATTTTCAGTGTTATGCCAGCAAAAGAAAGTCTAAAAAATGTTGTGATGTGCACAGTGCTCATTTTTATTTTCTCAAGGAAGTTATTACAGTCCTTCTCAATTACAGCAATTATTATATGTTTTAAAATATTAACAGCAAAATTTCCACATTCATAGCCCCAATTTTGCAACACGACATAAATGTGAGAGTTCAGCCCAACTTTTATGCTGGGTTCCTCTTTTATTTCTAGACTGTAAGTTCAAGGACTTAGGGACACTGTTCCCTTCTCTTCCCCTGGGTCCCAAGTGCTGTCATCCCAGAGCCTGTCATATGGGGGTTGGGGAGTACTTATTCCAATAAATGATTATCAAATGAATTCATTATGAATTCATTCACCCTTATTCCTTGTACTCCAATTAGAGCACTGGCCAAATTATACTATAACTTGTTACTTATTTATCTATTTTCCTTAACAACACCCCTAACTCCTAAAGGTCAGAGATTGGGTCTTTTTACCTTTGAAGCATCAGCTTAGCATGCAACCTGGACAGAGTTGATGTTTAAATAAGAATTTGTTGTCTGAAGACTGTGCCATGCAAAGTAGTTTTGTCTTTTGTACAATTCAACTAAAGAGGCCCCTTTCTATCTGGTGCTATTTCCTCAACTTGCAATCGCATTTCTTCTGTTTTCTGTCATCAGTCTATCTAAGACCAATGCAATGATCCCTGCCCTGAAGCATGTTGCCCTGATCAGGCAACAGCAAGAACTTTCTACCTATATTGTTTCACATGGCTACATATAAGATAGTCAAAAGAATCAAGTGATTTACTCAAGGAGTTTTTTCCCGAATGGATTTTTACAGTTCATGGCAGAGACAATCATCTTAAAAACAAAAACATCAAATTTTAAGACCTGGGCTTTTACAGAGATAAAAGATTTTTTTCTTAATTCTAAAATCTTAGACTTGAGTAACAAAATTGAAGCTCCAAAGAAATAAAGGTATAACGTTTATTGCATAAGCAACAACTTTGGAAGACATGTGAAAATGCAAGTGATCAACGTTTCCTACAAGGAGAGCTTAGAGAAAGTCATCAGCCCTGGAAAAAGAGTTAAGTGTTAGTTGTGGGTATAGGTTGCCAAAAACGTACCTCATGTCCTGAATCCCGGGAACTCCAGATAAGGTTAGAAGGTTCCCATACAGGGAAGTTGTGCTTCATCCTCCAGCTGTAGCCTGGGGAGCCTGCCAGTTTCAAATAGAACTTTTGCCACAAACATGGAGCCCAAGCAATAGAGGCTGAATGCCTAAGGATAACATGCACTATTTATTGGTTGCTTACCAAATATCCACTCTCTTCTTCCTCTGTAACTTCCTTTTTTTTTTTTTTTTTGAGTGAGGCAATGTATCAAACTATCCCTGAGATTGAACTAGGAGTCACTGGATGGGACTTCTAAGAAAGTTCTTTAAAGGTGGAGGTCTCAGCTTAAAAGTGACCCTTTTCCCCTTTCCATTTATCCTTGCTGTTTCCTGGAACATGGATGTGATGGTTGGAGTTGCAGCAGCGATCTTAATTGCTAATTAACAAAGTTAGGAAAAGAAGCCACTCACCAAGGGTGGTAGAGCAAAAACACAGAAGGGTCTGTGATGAGTCTGGAGATACAATACCAGCCCCGGACTACCTGCCACTGGGGATCTTTTACATTAAGAGAAAAATGCACCTCTTTTTTGTTTGGGCTTCTATAACGGGTTTTCTGTTCTAAGCAGCTGAACCAAATCCTAAGTGATACACATAAAAAGTATCTAGGGGTGTACCAGAGTGTATTTTCCAAAGAAGGTCACACAGTATCTCCCGAGCTTTTAGATACTGTCTGAGTTCAAGTCAGAGATCAAATTCTGATTAGAAAAAGAGACAAGGGACTCTCAGGACACAGGAAGGTCCAGATTCAGTGCTGCAAGAAGCAAATAACTTTTGGAAAACACCAGAATTCACCCAGGACAAAGTGTAAATAATTAAGGAGGGGACAAGACTCTGCAGCAATTCATAATTTGGAGAGATAAAAGAACAGGGAAAAATAATAAGGAGAGATTATAGGTCTCAGAAGGGCTATAAAACACTGTACAATAAATGCTGGGGTAGGAACTATATACAGAGCACCCAATTTATAGAATGTAGTAAAAGAGGTTAGTGTGTGCCAAGAAGATGCAAAGAACGCAATAAACAAAATGCTGCAAGCAATAACATATCCACAGCCATAAAGAGAAGTGGTGCAGTCTGTAGAATAGGTATTTTTGTTAGAGTTGTGAACATTGCTCCTAAACAAGATACCTTGAATTGCTCTTGAGAAACTAATAGTATCTTTGTTTCACATGAGTCAAAAATGAGCTCAGTTAATGTCTCTGTAAAGGCTACATGTAATTGGAGGGTAATAAATAAAAGCAAAAGTAAAGTAACAGTATACTGTGGTTGCCTTATATCTGCTACAGAGATACATAGTTATATTTGGGTATTAAATATTGAGTGCTTCAGAAATGAGGTTACAAATTTGGCTCACAAACCCATTCTATCTTGCTCCAACACATAAGGATAGGTACAGGAAGAAAAAAACTTTCACCTTGGAGGCAGTGTTGAAGAAAGTGTGATTCTATGGGCTTTCAAGGTAAAAAATTTTTAAATGCAACCCTTGCAGAAAAAAAAGCAATCAATCAATGGCTATTGTGCTGGAAGGCATAAAGAAACTTGAATAAAATATAGGGAAAGCGTGCATATCTTTTTCAGGATCACTGGAGGATAGTTAGTATCAAACTTAACCTTAACTTAGATGTCTGCACAATCAGATTCCTGCCATAATGACCACAGACACCAGTACATCACCCAGCACACTGTGGTGTTCACCACTTGAGTTCATGTGTTCCTATCTAGAAGACATCATTCATGGTCAGAGTGAATTTTATTGTGATAATGTTCTGCTCCTCTGAGAACTCATATATGATCACTCGGAAATCACACAATAGACACCCAGTTTCATATGGGAGGTTCCACTTAAAACTTAAGGTAGGGACGCCTGGGTGGCTCAGTCGGTTAAGCTTCTGCCTTCAGCTCAGGTCATGATCCCAGGGGCCTGGGATCGAGACCCACATTGGGCTCCCTGCTGGGCAGGGAGCCTGCTTCTCCCTCTCCCTCTACCCCTCCCCTCCCCACTCATGCTCTCTCTCTGTCTCTCAAATAAAGAAATAAAATCTTTAAAAAAAAAAAAGAAAAGAAAAGAAAAAGTACCCTTTCTACATATATTTGTATAATAACATTGTATATAAAATATAAATAAGTGTACCTAAAATATATGCAATATACATTGTATGTAAGATATATTAGCATGTATATAAAAAGAAATAAAGTTATGTATGGTGGCACATGGTACCTAGACTAATTGTGATGACTGGTTTCGCGATATATACAAATATTGAATCAATATGCTGTACATCTGAAACTAACTTAATTTTATATGTCGGTTATATCTCAATTTAAAAAAGAAGTATCAGTTGAGCCCTTGAGGAAGAAAGCTTATACTTTAAGGATTAAACTTTGAACACATGCAAAAAGACGACTATAAGAGGTTCTGCTATTAGTTCGACAGCTTTAAAAGAAGTCACTGGTTCAGCATATGTCATAAGCAGGTGGGAGAGAGAAAACCAGGGGGATGTCAGAAGAGATTCTAGATAAGAACTGAGATACTCCCAGGCCATTCATGTCTAAGGAATCACCAAAGCTCTAGGAGAAAGGAACCCAAATCAATGCTATAACCACTTTAGATTTGTATATAAATGTGGTTTGCCATTATACTACTTAATTTCATCAATGACAAAGAGTATGCAGTTCATCTCTTAGCATAGGTTTAGTTCTTCTCAATAGAACATGGGTTTATCCTTACAAAGTTTAGAGTTGAAAAGAATTTCTTCAGGTGCCATTTAGCCCCTGTCAAGTTAAAAAACCAAGCTATCCCCTAGACCAAGAGTATAGAAATCCTGCCACCCTGGGATGCTCTGCCCAAGCAGATGGCCAGCCACCATCTCCAATACCTCAGCTCTTATAAAATTCACCAAGGTGTCACATTCCTTAGGAATTATTAACTTTATCTCAGTTGTTTAAAAATACATACATTAAATAAATAAATGTAGGATTATTCAACCTTCTGGAGGGCAATTTGGCAGTATCTACTGACATTTCAAATGCATTTATTTAATCTTTGACATGGTAATTCTATTCTCTTGACTTACTCTAGGTGTTCATGCACTGAAACATTGTTTGCCAAGCAAGAGATTAGAAACTACCTACATGCCCACTGACAGAAAACTGGCTAAAATTTTCAGGATAAAGCTGCACTATAGAATACTATACAGCCCTAAAAAAGGAACGGAATGGCCTTTATGAACTGATATGGAATGATTTAGAAAAAGTAAAAAATAAAAATAATGAAGTCACAGACATGTCTATAGTATGCTGCCATTCAGATAACATATTTGTTTGTATATTTATAAAATGAATCTGGAAGAATAGGGGGAAATGGTAATAACTAGATGGTATTGATACAGAGTCTTCATTTTATGTCTTTTATATTTGAACCCCTTATGTGCATTATCTATTTTAAATTTTTGAAAAGGAAGTATTTAGGAAACGATGTAACAACCTAAACAGTGTGCATAAGTACAACTGTACAAACATAGAATATGCGAGGAAATAAGCAGAAAATTGAGATGGAATTACAGACAATTAAAAATCTTTTTGCCGGGGCACCTGGGTGGCTCAGTCAGTTAAGCATCTGCTTTCAGCTCAAGTCATGATCCCAGGGTCCCAGGATTGAGCCCCGCATCAGGCTCCCCGCTCAGTAGGGTGTCTGCTTCTCCCCTTGGCCCTCCCCCTTCTCATGCTCTCTCTCTCTCTCTCACTCACTCTCCCTCAAATAAATAAATAAAATCTTTAAAAAAAAACCTTTTGGCCAATATTTCTGTAACTCTAAATCATTAAAAATTGTTAAACTATTAAAAAATAAAAAATTAATGTAAAACAATGTTAATTTAAATACTCAAGGTATTAGCCTAATTATACTTTTCCTTTTTTTCTTAAGATTTATTTATTTGGTGGGAGGGGGGAAGGATTGGAGAGAGAGAGAAAATCTCCAGCAGATTCCCCACTGAGCGAGGAGCCTGATGCAAGGCTCAATCTCACAACTCTGAGATCATAACCTGATCTGAAATCAAGAGTCAGATGCTTAACCAACTGATATGCTTTTTCTTTTGTAAGAAAGATAAATAAAATGGATCCATTTTTAAGTGCCTCACTCTTGGGGAGAGAGAAGCAATGTCCTATACTCGTCTTTTTAAAATTTTAACTAAACTCATACCAATTCACCAGTATTTCATACTTGTTATTATGACCTATTAATTTTACTAATTTTATTACAGCCTAGAACAGTAGAGTCAGAAGGGTATTAACTTCATGTAGTCCATTAGATTCTTGTTTTTAGAAACTCATTTTCTCTTTTCTTGCTTCCCCCCCAAAAATTAATGGAGTTATCTTACCCAACTATTAGTCATTGTTAAGAAATACAAATGATGATAAGACTGTGTATACGTCTTATTCCATGTAGGAGTCCAATGTATAAGATGACAAACAAACACATGAGCTATGCCGTATTAGCCATGCACCCTATGAATCCCCCAGTCACTTAAGAATTGAAAGAATTAGAACTTGCCAAATGTACCTTTCTAAAAGAATAACATTCAAATACAGCCCTAAGAATAGTTGCTTTGAAGGGCGCCTGGGTGGCTCAGTTGGTTAAGCGACTGCCTTCAGCTTGGGTCGTGATCTGGGAGTCCCAGGATCGAGTCCCACATCGGGCTCCCCGCTCAGTGGGGAGTCTGCTTCTCCCTCTGACCCTCTCCCCTCTCCTGCTCTCTCTCACTCTCTCTCTCTCAAATAAATAAATAAAATCTTTAAAAAAAAAAATAGTTGCTTTGAAGCTGGAAGGAAAATATTTAGTCTGTAACATTGTTTCTTTCTTGGCCGTTAACTCAACTATTTAATGTTAGGGTCTTTTGGTTTTCCTTTTTCTCCCCCTAGATTATACCTAAATTCAATACTGAAGACGGCACTACTTAGCATTTCTGTGACCTAATCATATTTTCCAGATAAATGCGTGCATATCCTTCAATTACCTTATGAATTATTAGAACTTCAGAGATTGGTTTCAGAGTTTTTCCTATATTTTAACATTATATCTTTTACTC